TTTAGTCTTAGTTTAATTATTATTTTTAAAAATTATTAATTTTTAAATTAAATTATTTTGCACCCCTTGAGTTCAGGTCCTAGCTCCACCACTAATCGAATGGCCAGCACCAACTAGAGCTGAACTGGCATCGCCAACCTAGACAAGACCGCCTCCTGTGACTAAGATTGAATGACAAACTTCCACCAGGATCGTATTGTTGATGATGATAGGGACCAAATGGCGAACACCAACCAAGACAAGATTAGGCATTGATGATCTAGTTTCAGTGGAAGTCGGCCGTCCAGATTGTCGAAGTTGTTCGTGCTGCTTTTGAATTTAGATATAGAATTTGAAATTTTACTTAAAATCCAAACAAAAAATTTTAATATTATAATTTAAAATTTTTTATATCATCTAAATAAAGAATTTAAAATCTATAAATTTTAAATCTAAATTCCTAACCCAAATTCACCCATTAAAATGCAACATTAATATATTTGTGCTTTAACAGATTAAGAAGACTAGAAGAATGATGCTTAACCTCAATCCCCAAAAAATAATGAAGATGACCCAAATCTTTGAGAGAAAATTCAACATTAAGCCACTTTTTCAATTGTTCAATATAAGCAGAGTTGGTACCGGTCAACAAAATATCATCAACATACACCAAAATATATGTTGTATCCAAAGAAGAATGATGAATGAATAAAGAGGGATCACACTTGCTTGGAACAAAGACAAACTTCATTGCAAGGCAGTAGCCAACCAATGAAACCAAGTACATGGAGCTTGTTTTAAACCATAAAGACTCTTGTGAAGTCTACATACTAGATTAGGATTAGAAGAGACAAAGCTAGGTGGTTGACTCGTATAAACCTCCTCTTTAAGAGTGCCATTGAGAAAGGCATCATTGACATCAATTTGAGAAATAGGCCAAGAATTATGTAAAGCAAGAGGAAGAATGGTGCGAGTAATAGCTGGTTTAGTCACTAGTGAAAATGTTTCAATATAATCAAAATCATGGGGTTGATGAAACCCTTTTGCAACTAAGAATGTCTTATTAGTGGCACCATCGAGTTTTTTTATATTTGAAGAACTGATTTGTATCCTATCACAACTTGTTAGAGGGAGGTAGGACAAGGGACAAAGTTTTACTTTGAAGAAGGGCTTGATGTTCATCATATTCATGGCAGAATGCCAATCAAGTATCTAAAGTGCTTCAAGGGAATTAAGAGGAATGTAAATGGAAGAAGGAGAACTAGAAGAAGTTGATTAAACAGTAGCAAAAAGAACTTTGGTTAATGAATGCCATTTTTGGTGGAGCTGGATTTGCTTCTCTACAAAGGAGAGTAGAGAAGAAACCAGTGCAGATTTGGACCGTTAAATTAAATTTAAAAATTTAAATTTTATAATTTTTAAAAATATAAATTTAATTTTAATGATTCATATTTGCAGTGGAGGCCAATGAAGAGGAAAAGCAAAGGAGAGAAACCTACCCCATTTTTGACACGGGCAGTCATAGGATAAATGTTTGTTAAAGGTAGAGGAGGAGGTGGAGAATAAAAAAAGAAGAGGAAAGGGAATGGGATGAAGTCATAGGATGAGTAGTTATAGTTTTGATTCAATTGTAATATAATTTTTAAAATTTTTACTTAATTTTAACGTAGTTTTTAAATTTTAACTCGTTGTAATTTGTTCCTTATATTTTTTATTTGATTGTAATTTAGTCCCTAAATTTTAACTTTTACAACTCAATCTTTATAATTTTAATCATTTAAAATATTGATCTCTATATTTTAAAAATGTAAAAATTAAAATAATGTTAAAACTTAGGATTAATATTTTAAATTTTTAAATCATTTTAATATTTATAAAAATTGTAATGATTAAAAATTAAATAGTTTTAATATTTATAATTTTTTTAAATATAAAAATTATTATTTAAATAATTAAAATTATAAAAATTGATTTACAAAATTCAGTGTTTAAAGATTAAGTTATAATTAATTAAATAAATAATTTTCACAAAATAATAAAATAAAGTGAACGAAGAAGAATTCACCAATCATCACAGGCCAAGGACAATTTCTAAAGCACGGCTTTTGGAGTTGCGTTGCGTTGTCCTCCAACTCAATAGCTCAATGCCTACCTCTATGGCTCTACCAGCCCATGTGAACAACAATTAATCCCCACCAATCATTGATTGCCACGTTGACAGCCCTCTCTCCCCATCCTATCCTCATCCAATGCCGTCCCTTTCCTCCCGATAAATCCCAGGGCCCCACCACTGCCAGTAAAACCACCACCTCTTGTTCCCCTCATTTCCTCACCAAACCAAACCCCAAAAACCACCGCGTCTGCATTGGATAATATTAAATCTAAACTAATTATAATATATTTAAATGATTAATTTATAAAACTTATAAATTTTTTAATATTAAATTAAATTATTTAAATTGTTTAAAATCTATCTGGACACTTAAATTGTAAAATAATAAAAAAATTTTAATTAAATGTATACTGATAAAGATATTTATTAAAATTTTAAAATTTTTATATTAATAAATATAATATTAAGAATATTTAAAAATTAATTTAAATGAATTAAAGTGATTAATTCAAACTGAAATGGAGATCTTTGCCCTGACTAGCACGCAGAATGCAGATCGAAAAACCACCTCCATCTTTCTCTCACCTCTGCCCCCACCCCCATCTCAATCTTTATTTTTTAATAAAGAATAAATAATATAATAATAATATAATTAAATATTATAGTTTTATGCATAATTTTTAGACGGCCGAGAACTCCAAACTTAAAACCGAAACAAAAAATCACTTTGGTTGTGTTGTGCTTTAGGATTATTTAGATTTTATTTTTATTATTTTTATAATTATTAAATATTTTTAAAAATGAATGTTTTATTTTATTTATTTTTATTAAATTAAATAGTATAAATTATAATCTATTGGATTTACATTTATCCAAAAGTAAAAGGAAAAATTAGAGCAAAGGACAAGGTGAAAATAATATTTATTAGAAAAAACTTTAAAAATTCCAATTATTAAGAAAGGCCAACTGCCAAAATGTAAATTCTAAAATACTAAATTGCCCCTATCAAATATCCTGCAGTATCCCATTGCGCATCTTAGTTTTATCGAACAATTTACCCGTAAATGGATATTAGTTAAAGTTCCTGCATTTCACATATTATATTATCATGTATGGGAATTTATTTTTAATTAAGTTGATTTATGAAGTGAAGAGTATTCATTTCACAAAGTGGCTTTTTAATTGCTAAAGGCCACTCTATATAAGCGTTATCGAAAGTGTTAAATGCCAAATCATGCACCCCTAGTTTGAAAAGGGAAAAATGAAAAACAGAAACAAAATAGTGACGGATATAATATCATCTAGCCAAATCTCTTTTACAATAGCAGAATGGTTTATCACTTATGTTTGGTCTTTCACCTGATTTGAATTTTTATGGTCCTATATAAAAAGTATTGATGGTTACAGATCCTTTCACATAATTTCTCTGAAATAAAACAAGACTGCAAGTGGTTGGGAGATGAAACTTACTCTCTCCATTTAAAAATATAAGATATTTTTAATTAAATCTCACTCTCAATAAATTAATTATATATTTTTAAACTAACCTATTTTTTTGTATTACCTTTATGAAACATCTTACAATAAATATAAAGTAATTATTAATAAGAGCACTTAAAAAAAGATAATATTATACATTATAAAGCTAAAAATATTTTATATTTTTAAATATTTAACTCCTTAAAAAATATTTTTATAAACAGGGCAAGTAATGTTTATATTTGTAACCCATTATCCTCCATATCAAAAATATTCTTTAGTGTTGGGGTTACACGGTGGGGAACCAACAATGGAGAGAGAATCTCGATTTTTTATTTGAGAGAATTTTAATAAATATATTTAGTTCATGCGTATTTAAATGAAAAAAATAATCTTTTAGTCCTTCAATTTTTAACTCACTTGTAACTCAATTTCTCAACTATAACTCGCTGCGACTCAATCCTTAACTTTTGATTTACCTATAACTCAATCCTTATTTTTTAATTTTTTTAAATTTTTTTATCAAATAAGAGGAATAAAAAAATACTCATATATTATTTTAAAATACTCCATTCTTATTCATTAATGTGAGATATAAGCTAACATAAAAAAAATTAACAAAAGTTAAGGGACTGATTTGTAAGTGATTTAAAAGTTGAAGAACTGAGTTATAGACGAGTTATAGTTGAGGGACTGAGTCACAGCAAGTCATAGTTGAGGGATTATGTTACAAGTAATTTAAAAGTTGAAGAACTAAAAAATTAATTTTTCTTATTTAAATTTAAAACCTTTAATTTTTTAAAATTTCACTATAATTAGCGGTATTAATATAATATTAATTTTTTTAAAAAATGATAAAATTATCCTACATTTAAATTCATATTAGAAGTGCCTCATTTCACTTGTTCATTTCCTTATAATAAAATTAAATAAAAGTTAGATAATGAATAAGTGAAATAAAGTAGTGAACAATAATTTATAAGTAAATAAACAACATATAGTATAAGAATTAATATTTTGTCCTAAGATAATTTAAGCACCTAAAATAAAAATAAATTAAATAAAATAATTAATAATATTTTATAAATAAATTAATAAGTGAAGTAAGATAATAAAAAAATAAAGTAAAAAAATTCTGATAATAATTTAAATAAGGGATAATTTTGTTATCTAAGTTAAAAATTTAATATCAAATTAATACCTTTAATATGCAGTGTAATTTTAAAAGTTTTAAAGTTTTAAATTTAAATAAGTGTGATTAGGGACTCTTTATTAAAAATCTTCCTTTCTATTCTGCACAAAAAAAAAAAGAAAAAAAAATTACAATTACAATTAGAGCTTAGAGGAGAGTAGTGGAGCCACCATGCATGAGAGAGAGAGAGAGAGAGGTTCTGACGCCGTGAACCAGGCCGTCCATCCGCCGTTGACGGTGGTAAACGTTAAATTAAAAACATTAAAACGTGAGTGTGATCACTAACTCTTGCACTTGCATCCACTCAACTGAAACCCACCACATTACATTATGTTTGTTTTGTTAGATTGATTGTTGATGATGACGATGACGACGACGACCAAGAAGGATGGTGATATGGTAAGGTAATGGCCAAAGTCAGAGGTGGACCTCCTCTCCTCCCTTCATGGCTTGGCAAGCGTGCGCCACCTTATCCCCTGCGGCGCACGTTAGCCTCTCCTCTCTCTCCCTCTTCTCTCTCCTCCCACCTAAGCGGTGGTGGCCTCCTCATCCTTCTAGATCTCCTTTTCAGCCGCACACCCCTCCATCTCTCACCCACCCACCACCCACCTTCCCTGGCTCCTTTATCCCGTCTCTCTCTCTCTCTCTCTCTCTTTCTCTTCCATGTCTCTTCGCCTTTTTTCTCTCTCCTCCTTTATCGTCTTGCTATCCTGCGCCGCCGCCCCTCTTCTGTCTGATCTGAATCCCTGACGTTGTTGTTTCGTTGAGTTGTTTCTTAATTTTGGTTACCATGGCTTCACCTTCTTCGCCGGTGGATTCTACCCCTCCTCCTGATCCTCCCTCCGCCGTGCCTCTTCCCGTCCCGGCTCCACCATCGTCACGCCGCCTTCCGCCGCCGTGCTGGTCACATGACGAGACTGTGGCTTTAATCGATGCGTATCGTGACAAGTGGTATTCCCTTGGTCGGGGTAATCTGAAGGCTACTCATTGGCAGGAGGTTGCCGATGCGGTTACGGGTCGTTGTCCGAATGCGTCTCCGCCGAAAACCGCCGTCCAGTGCCGCCACAAGATGGAGAAGCTCCGTAAGCGGTACCGCACAGAGATCCAGCGTGCCCGGTCTACGCCCGTTGCCCGATTCAATTCGTCTTGGGTCCATTTCAAGCGCATGGATTGTATGGAGAAAGGTCCTTCCCCGGTCAAACCTGAGAACAATTCTGATAGCCCTGATGAGATTGACCACGATGATGACGATGACGATCAAGATTTGTACGAGGAATTTAAGAATCCTGGTGGGTCTAACACCAGGAGCTTGAATAAATTGTATAGAAACGGAACTGGCGGTGGTTCTGACGGTGGCGTCAGCGGTGGCGCGTTTCGCATTCGGATTCCTACTGGGGTGAGCATAGCACAACCTGGGACCAAGTTTTACGGGAAGCTTGCTGATCAGAAATTTAACTCAAATTCGAACTCCGCCGCACCTGGCTCTACTTGCAGCCCCAGTTACGGCACAAGGATTTTGAAAGAGAGAAGCGGATTGGGGAAGAGGGAGAGAGAGAGGGATCCAGTGGGAGAGATGGTGACTGCAATTAAGGTTTTGGGAGATGGGTTTGTGAGGATGGAGCAGATGAAGATGGAGATGGCGAGGGAGATTGAAACCATGAGGATGGACATGGAAATGAAACGTACTGAGATGATTTTGGAGTCTCAACAACGAATTGTAGAGGCATTCGCCAAGGCAGTTTCAGAGAAGAAGAAGAAGAAGGCTAAGAGAATGCCATCACCTTCAGAACCATAGATACTTGTTGGGTATACTTCTTAACCTTGTAGAGTAATGGAGCTAGTTCAGGAGGCCAATAAGTTATCTCTCAGGACTAAGATATGTGAGTTCTGTAGTTCAGATTTTGCTTTGCTTAGATATTTTTTTTTTTTTTGGGGGGGGGGGGTTGTCTGCCTCATTTTGTAAGTTAAGGAGAATTGGAACACCATATCAGTTTTAGGTTGACAGTGGATGAATGTAGCTTTGCTGTGAATTTTCTGGTGGCTATCATGTCTGTGTCTATTTATTTCAAGCCAAATGATTCAGATCAGAGAACAGAGTTGTTTTTTAATATAAGAGTCTCTGGCTAATTTCATGTATCTGCTTACGTTGTGAGCAATAATTCAATGAAATGAATTAGAATTCCAGCAATGATATCTTGCAGAGGCCATAGCATTCCAATAAACAGCAGTTTCTGTTGGATTATTTCAAACAAAAAGGCAACTTCTGATTAAAATAAGTTGAAGAACATTCAAGTTCTCAGAATTCAAAGAGAGAATTTGAGCCTTGGAACTCGTCTTGTCATGAATATTGTTAAGCTGTGGAACAGTATTTTGACTAATTCTGCTGCACTACTCTTGTTTTGCTGATCAAATGGTAACACTGTAGAAGCCTCAAAATTCCCTTCGAACATTAGACCGATGTTCTGCATGAATTTATTTCTTTTTCTTTTCTTTTGTTTTTGTTTTTTTTGTTTTTTTGATATCACTAACTGACTAGTTAGATTCAAGTACTGTCGGACTCAATTGGAGGGAGCCTTTTTGAAATATGAAATGTTGGGCATTGTTTACTGATGCAGTCAGGGTTTTGCTTTCTAACTTGGTGCTCTGTAGGTGAACTGGACACTTGAGTCCTCCAGATTGGCATGAGTATTTCGAAACACTGAAATAGATAAATTTGTAATTCACATTATGCTTACCAATAAGAAAAAGATACAAATATTCAGCTTATCTGCACTGTTGACATTGGAATTTTGCCAAAATTTTGAGTCTAGTGTGTAATTTGTGAAAGATGACAATGTGGATGTTAATAATTTGTGTTCTTTTAATTTTTCATTCTCTCTGTTATCTCAACTATCTATCAGTTTAATTTTTAAGTAAAGAGATTTTCCATTGCCTATCTTAACTTGGACTGGTTTTTCTTTTCATTCTCTTATTTCATTCGTTGCTAATGAAAACTCAAATCTACCCATCGCATTTCTACTATATTTTATCCTTTTTATTAGTCAATTTTAATTAACTTATCAAAATTAAGGTAAGTTGGTTACAATAATATAGTTTTCTTAAAAGTAAATTACTTTCCAATTTTTCCCTTAAATTAAAAAAAAATTAGTTGATATGTGAATTATTATTGTCAAACTTTCGAATTGACTTTTTAAATATATTATTTTTATATTTTTAATTTATAAAATTGTGTTAACTCATTTATAAATTTGAACTAGATAAAACTCAATTAAACTTGCGAGTTAACCGTTTGAGTTTATTATTCTTACATTTCTAACCTATAAAATCAAGTCAATATGCTTGTAAGCTTGTTGAGTAAGATAAGTATTTATTGTGTAAAATTTAATTTATAGAAGCAGTAGGACCTGGTTTAGTGAAAAATAAAACTAAAAAAAATTAAAAATAATATTAATAAAAAAGAAAACAAAAAATACAAAAGATAAGTTGCTTTATTTTAGAATTTCTATATTGAATATAATAATCAATAAATATAAATGAATCTAATTTCAATGATTTATATTTAAAATATATTTAAATTAAATCATTATCATATTTTATATTTTAATTATTTAATTATATACTTTTAAAGGCTATTTATTAGTAAAGAAAAACTCTTACAAGTTTATAATTTAAATCTATACTTTGAGGTTTATATTTCTGTCAGTCTGTTATATGTTCATTTAAACTTATAGTTAAACTTGATGTGGATAAAGTTTTTCTAGAATTTGAAATATTAAATTTTTTTAAAGAATTTACTGGGGATAAGTTTGGAATTGTATATTAGAAATTAAAAAAAAAAGAGAAATTGACTTATAAAAAAGAACCAATTTTTTTTCTAAAATGTTATAATAAAAAAGACAAGAGAAAATATATTTTTTTTATGATTAAACTCTCCTTGCAGAATGTGCGACGCAAAGCCAACTCAACAAAAAGTGACTGAATTTAGTCTTAACAAATTGGAATGCAAAACCAGCACCCGATTGTATAAGGACCAAGGAGGTCTTGTTCTTGGATTAAGAAAAGGAAAAAAAAAAAAAAATTGATGACCCGTTTAAACGACGTCAATATATAGTGCTTGTTGATGCACAGCATACACCTTGCTATCGGTAAAAAAATGTATGCTAGTTTTCATAAGATATTTATAATTTTAATTATTTTTATTGGAGTATTATTATTATATGGAGAATTTTAACTAAGGACCATAGTACTTATTTATTTACAAAACATAAAAAAGCTCTGAAATTACACTACAGGATTGGAGGACCTAATTGGAATAAATTTTTGGTGCGAGATAACCAAATAACCCTAATGTTAAAAAAACAAATAATGTTATGCACTTAACAAGTAACATTAGCGATTTTTCAAGTAAAACTAACAATTTAGTAAGTCATAATTGATGAATTTAATACAGGTTAGATTATATATAAGTAACATTATGAAATTAACTAGCTATATAATGGACTTAATAAATAATGTTAGCAATTGTTTTAAAACTAAAATTAATAATTCAACAAGCTGTGATGAAAGAATTTAACACAAGTTATATAATGCACAAGTAAAATTACGGATTTAACAAGTAATACAAGGGAATTAATAATTAATGTTAGTAATTTTACAAGTAAAATCAATTATTTAAAGTGTAAGATTTATGTGCTTAATTTTATATACTTAATATGCTTGCATCTAATTAAACAAAAATAAGCAAATTTTAATGTACTAAATTGAGTGGTGGTATCATGATTTGGGTCATGGTTGCAACATTTTTCAAATTAATAATTTAAAAAAGATTGTACCTAGCGTGGCTTCATATTATGAAATCGTTAAGTAATTATTTTATTGTCGATGTTTAAAAAAAGTACATATCTTTTTCAATATAAGTCACTAAATAAATATTCATTAATGGATTTTCCATACATTAAGGCTTTTTCTACCATTAATGTGGCAACTAATAATATAATTTATAACTTTAAGAGAGCATACAATTTTTTATAATTCAAATATTTTTAAAGTTGGACTAAGGGGTGCAAAATATTTGGACCAAGAGTTGCTAAATATTGAAACATACAAACTATTCTTGTAATTTTTCCTAAATTCAAGGGGTGAATTTGTCCCCCCATTCGGAATTCTATATAGCACTGCCTATGGTGCTAATATTATTAATAACAATAATTTAATATAGAATAGATGATCTATAAAAAAATCTACATATCTTGATTTAATTAAAAATAAACATAATAAATATATAAAGTTAAGTATATAATTTTTTTCTAATTTAAAATGTCATGAAGGATAAATTTAATACAAGTTAGTTGGCATGCAACACCCACATCCCAACCCACACATCCACACCAAATTGTTTTTTTTTAATCCCCCTTTTTTGGGCCATTTGAGAATATAAGTCAATAAGGGTGTTTACAGGTTTAGTTTGATTTGATTTTGAGAAAGACAACAAAATCAAACTAATCAATTTATTAAAATTTAGGACTTATTCATTTTTTTCCCTTTAATTAGTTTGGTTTGGTTTGGATTAAGTTTAAACCTTTTTGTGAGATATTTTTCATAATCTTCAACATATATTCATATTCACTGATAAATTTTAACTATTAATTACTATTTGCAATGCAAAAATCTTGAGCAAAATAATTTTTTAATAAATAATTAGCATATTTAACAATTTCAGAGAGGAGAAGAAGGCTGAGAGAATGTCATCACCTTCAGAATCATAGATACTTGTTGGGTATACTTCTTAACCTTGTAGTGTAAGGGAACTAGCTCAAGAGGCCAAGATGTTATATCTCAGGACTAGGATATTTGAGTTCTTCAGTTCAGCTTTTGCCGCTTAGATTTTCTTTTTTCTGTCTCTTTTTGTAAGTTAAGGAGAATTGGAACATCATATCAGTTTTAGGTTGGGGGTGGATGAGTAAATTTTCTGGTGGCTATCATGTCTGTCTGTTTATTTCAAGCCAAATGATTCAGATCAGAGAACAGAGTTGCTTTTTACTTTAAGAGTCTGGCTAATTTTATGTATGTGCTTACATTGTGAGGTATAACTCAATAAAATACATTAGCATCCAGCAATGATATCTTGGAGAGGCCATGGCATTCCAATAAACAGCAGTGTTTTGTTCGAGAGTTTTAAAGGTAAATTGAAGAACACCTAAGTTTTCAGAGTTTAAACAGAGAACTGGAGCCATGGAACTCCTCTTGTCATAAACATGCTCAAGCCGTGGAGTAATTTTTTTAAGTAATTCTGCTGCAATACATATGTTTTAACAATTAAATGTTAAAAACACTGTAGAAGCTTAAAAATTCTCTTTCAACTGTAGGCCGATGTTTTGTTTGGAATGTCAAACAATGTTTGCTGATGTAATTCATGTTCTGCTTCTTTACTTGGTGCTCTGTAGTTGAACTGACATTCGAGTCCTCCAAGTTGGCATGAGTATTTTGAAACAATGAATGTCATGCCCCCAAAAATTTAATGTGACCGGCGTGATCACACGCACGCACAAAAACATATATCCCTTAAGCTTTGATTAAGGAAAATCTAATATAATATCTTGATTCATTTTAAATAGGATTGAAAATTTATTGCAGCATTTTTTATATAAATAAAAAATTTCTAGAATTTTTGTAAAAATTTCAATAGAACCTCCCCTCTCAAAAAAGCCTCCCAAAAACAAACCTACAACCATTTTATAAAACAACAACAACAGTAAGGAACTCTGTTCCCATTAGTAGATAACAAAAAAATAAATGATAAAGAGAGGACTCTAACTTGACGTAAGAACTTACAAAATATAATACACAGATTTAAGTTTACATTGAAAGAAGCTTGATCTACAGTTCTTCACTTCAATTGAATACTACAGTCCCTCAATGGTCAATGAAAGGTACAACATCAGCTAATATATTTGAGATTGAAATAATAATTTTTAGTAAATAATGTCCCAACATTTATGAAGTTTAAAGGGATAAAATGAATAAATGACAATGATTATAAAAATCAATGAGACAACTTCATATAAAATATTTCATAAACTTTGAAATTAAGAAATTCTATATAGCTATAAAAAAAATCTTAGCCATTAAATTTAAAATATTAAATATCTTTATTACTTGATCTTAAGAAGACAAATAAATAGAAAAAATAAATATAGTAACATTTATTAACTAAGCCAATGGAGTATGTAATCACCAAATAATTTAAAAATCATATTTTTGAGGACTTAGTACAACAATTAACTAACAAACATGGATGTACAATTCATGAGGGTAATTAACTAAACATGACTTATGCCACAAAGACAAACGTGGACACATAGTCCACAAGAGTAGTTAACCAGATATGGTCAAAAGCCCTGAAACAAACATGAACATACCGTCCATGAGGGTGGCTAACCAAACTGTGTTAGATGTAGCCTTTCTTGAGTAATGTTAACTTGTCAATTTATCTCATTTTTTTATCATCAAGGTTCATCCTGTAGTGTGGTAAGTTAGGGATTGGCAATCCAAAAACTAAGTTTATTGTATGTTGGATATTTCTTATAAGTGGTAATTCTGAAGGTAATTCCTGAGGTACCACATCTTTACATGCATCCAACAAATGGGACACTTTGATAGGTACATGACTACTTGTTGGTATGATTGGGCAATGACTTTTGAAAAAACAACAAGAATAATGTTAATCTCTTTGTTTTCTTGCACAAATTACTTTTCTGTTAGTAAGTGGAGGTGACATTTCAATTTTTGACCCAAACTCTTGGCTCCTATTTCTAGTGGCAGGGTGCAAAAGATTAGTCTTTCCATCATGCTTGAAGGTATGGGTATTTGCTTAATCATAAATGGTGGCATCATGGTCATAAATCCAAGGTCACCCTAGTAAGATATGCGATACGTTCATGGAAACAACAATGCATAGGACTTCTTAATAGCCACATAAACGAAGGGATACTCAACATTGTTGTGTTATGAGCAATAAAATGTTATCAATCCAAGCTATAAAATCTTCGGGTTAGGCAAATAAAATTATCCTTGCTAATCCACCCTCATCTTCAATCATTAAGGTAATTATCAAATGTAATAACCCTGAAAAGAAATGGGATTTTATTTCTGCGCCTCAGCTCCTCTGAATTTACTAAACTGCCCTTTCTTCAATCTGTTTATTATTCTCTCCTCTCCTTTCCAATTGACGCGTACAGAACTGAAGAGGGAGCTAGAAGTTTCGCCTTTGAAGTTTTAAGGTTCAGACCCAAAAATCTCTATCCATCATCTTCTTCTCCTTCGTTCTATCCTCATCGCTAGTGGAAGTGGAGGCTCATCACTGCTCTGATATGTTCAGGTCCTTCTTCGTTCTCCTTGTCTCTGTTTACTTTTCTCGTTTGTTGCTCTGTATTTTTCGTTCACGTCTGAGGTGCTGGTGGATGGAAGAAATCAGGTCGCTGGAGTTGGTGTACTGATCGCAAGCTTGATCTGGCGCTGAATCTGTTATTCTCCTCTTGAGTGATACTCTGTCTTCCTTCTTTCTGGTTCAAGCGTAAATCTCGTCTTCTCTTCCTATTTGGTCGACAGCTTCTTGATCTTCCCCCCCTGCTGTTATTGGTAATTAAGGTGAGAACTCTTCAGCTTTCTTCCTTGATGATTTTGCGCGAGAGGAAGTGTGAGTTGATACTGAAATTATAGAACTTTTGAGAGTATTCTGCTGCTGTTGCTCAGGCTGTTGTGGGAGCTAGAAAGTGAATTTGAAAGCTTCATAACGTGTGTATATATGTATATATATATATATATTATATAGGTCTGAATTGGTTGATCTTAAAAATTTGATTAGGATGAGGTTGAAAGAGAAGAACTTAGTCATGAAAACTGAAAATTAGTGCGATGCTTATTAAAATGTTTGTTAGAAGAAATGAACTTGATTTTGAATATTTTAAAATTTCGTTGGTTCTTAGGATTTGTATAGTTAGTAGTAAATTGTTGAATATTTTTATTGAATAATTAGAATTTATGTAATTATCTTAAAATTTTAAATATATATATATATATATATTCTCTCAATTTATATTTTATTTAAATTAGTTTTATGACAAATGGCAGGTGGTGATTTAGTAAAACTTATGCTAATAGTTTATTTGAAAATCTGGAGTTTGAATTCTTTTGAGCAATAGGTTAAATTTTATTAGTTTAAAATTTTGGAAAAAATTACAAGAAGTGCCTGTTTCTCTTATGTTATTAGAGGAAGTGTTGTGCCCTCTCTTATAATTTTCACAATTTTTTAATACTTAGATTTTTATTCCTCTCCCCTCTTGGTCAGACGCACGCATAAGAATGAGAAATTTTGAGATCCTTCGACTCAAGCTTCGTCGATGCCAGCTCCCTTTGTTCCTCTTCGATTTTTTCGATGAGTTCTTGTTGTTTTGCCTCCAGCCAAGTCTTCCCCATTTTTCCTCTTCTTTTCTTCTCTTTTTCAGTGGTGCACACGTGTTCTGGACCAGAGGAAGAGAGTTGGAGATTTTTCTTGGTTCCAGTAGCTTCGAGCCTTTGATCCAACCATCTCTGTCCTCAACCCTTGTCCCTGTTGCTCCTCTAGTCGCCGGCAACCTTGAGAACGCCAGAATCCTCACTGTGGGTAGTTCACAGTGCTTCGTCTAGCTCTCCCCTCTTTTGTATCATTTTTCCTTCTTCAGCATCTGTGTAAATATGTGATGTTTGGAAGGAGGGAAGCTCAAATAGAGTCATAAGAAATGATTTTGGGAGCTTTGAGGATGTTACAGATCAGTGGATAACGTTCCAATCAATTTATATATATTTGAAAATTTTCTTGTATCAACTATTATTTTCAATAATTTACAATCATTAATATATGCCACTCTAGCATTGATTAATGTTGTTGATTAAATTTATTTATCTCTTGAAGTTATCATGATTTATACTTATAAGATTGGCATAAACACTTTTTATAAATTCTAGTACTCTTTTATTCAATAAAGATAATCATGGAAATGGGTGAAGAAGTTTATAGAACACTAGTTGTGAATTTTCATATTTTAAAGGATTGATATTTTAAAGAGTTCATGCGAGTTTGATATTGAAAAGAGAAAAGTTCATTTTGAAAGTGATGATTTTCTCGCATATTTAAAAATGAATTTTAAGGAAACTTTATACAGAACAGTGGTTGCTAATAGTAGTTTCTTAGCCCTTGACGCGCCATGGTACACTTAGCCAGCAGGGTGTGTATAGGAGGTATTAGCCCCGTGCGATGGCCAATGCACGTGGAACAGAGGGATGGTTATTCGTGAGCATCGTACTCATGTTTGTTTCATGGCTTCGGTCGCATTTGATTACGTACCCTTGTGAATTGTGTGTCCACGTTTGTTTCCTGGCTTCGGCTGTGTTTGGCTACATACCCTCGTAAAATGTGTATCTACGTTTGATTTCATGGTGAGAGCCACATTTAGTTATTTACCCTTGTAGACTGTGTGTCCACATTTGTTAATTATTCTGATAAGTTCCTATTATATGAATTTAATTATTTGGTAATTTTACATCCCATAGGTTTTAAATAGTAAATTATTTATAATTATTGATTTTGTTTATTTGCTTACTTGCAATCAAGTGATGATAATATTTATTATGAGATTTTAACGGTTCGAGATTTTATTTAAAATTTTATAGAATCATTTTATTTTGAAGTTTATTAAATTTTTATAAAGATCGTTGCTCTTTAACTTACATAATTATTTATTTTTTTATGTTATGTTCAATTATTTATTGTTGGAATGTTATTTACTGAAAAATTATTTTGGTGTCAAATATACTCTAGTTGACATCAATCCCCTTGTTGATCTATGAGAACTCATAGATGTGCTGGGTAAAGAACTGATCGAAATTTTTCTTTTTATGTAACTATGAATGCTTATGTATTTTATTTTGGAGAGGTATGGTTAAGTGCTCCACATACGCTACATCCAGGGCTTCTATTTTAGTATATATGTTGTTTGTTTATTAGAAAAGCTAAGCTCCTGATTGACATAGTATTCTGTGAATATTTTTGTATTGTAGAGTTTTGGATGATCCTATTTACAAGCGAGGTTTTGTCGATATTTTTACAAAAAATTTTAAAAACTTTATTTTAATGACCAATATAAAAAAATATTAAAATTTCAATATAAATTTGATTACATTTTAGGAATGAAATGAGTTTAAGGTTAAAGGCTTGCGGAGATGTATTATGTGGTTCACATCTCGTGCCGCTTACCCTCTATTTTTAGGGCGTAACAATTTATGCACCTAAAGCAAAGCCTAAAAGAAAATTTTATCTCAAGGAAATAGAATGGCATGGCTAAATCTTTATGGAGGAGGTCATAAGGATGAATGATAATGCTTGGACTAATTTTAAATCATAAATTTAGTTTTGAATTTTAAATGATGATGGTTAATTTAGAATTGTGTTAAAGATTGAAAATATATTAAAACTTCATTTATTATATTTTTATCGGTTGTGTGGAAGAAGAGAATTCTGGTAGAAATTGAAGACAGAATATTTTAAAAATTTGAAGCTTTAACAAGTAATTAAATAACATCCTACTTAATTATTCATTAATAGTCTTTTATTAAAATATTTTATTTTTATGAATTGTTTTAGTTTTGAAAATTATGAATTAATTATGAAGGATGATTAAATTATTTTACGTGCATTTACTTTTTTCCTCAAGAAATGTATTTTTAATGTTGGTGAAAGTATCTTTGTTTCTTAAACTTTAGAATTTATTGGCTACACAATTAATGCAAGATTGCACATTAGCTTTTGAGTATTAACTTGGCAAGTTTTGATGTTTGAAATAATTCATGTGAGTTTGGTATTGACAATGAAAATTTTATTTTAGAAATAATTATTTCTCTCGCATGTTTGAAATGTAATTTTTAAGAGGACTTTATATAGAATAGTGGTTGCTAATGGCAGTTCCGTTAGCCCTCGACGTTTTGGTTAATGACTACCTAGTTTGAATTTTGTGAGCCTTGTTCTCACGTTTGTTATTCATGGTATTGTACTTGCATTTGATTTCATGGCTTCAGTTGCGTTTGGTTAGTATTACCCTTATGAACTATATATCCATGTTTATGCCAATATTTGTTTCGTAGCTCAAGCTGTGTTTGGTTATTTATCCTCATGGATTGTATATCCACATTTGTTTTTGTAGCATAAGCTGCGTTTGGTTATTTACCCTCGTAAATTATGTGTCTACGTTTGTTATCTATTCTATTAAATCCTCAAAAATTTGAATTTTAATTACCTCGTTCATTTGAAATTTCAATGGTTTCAATTAATAAGTATACTATTTTGATTTGTGTAAGAGTAATTTGTTTTCTTTAACTAGGATAGAATAAAGTGTTTTCAAGTCACTCTCATTTTATGGTAATGTTATGATTTACAGATTTATCAAGTTATTATGTTGAATTATCATCTTTTCAATTATTTTACATGATTATTTAAGTTTATTATTTAATTCTCTTAAATTCTATCTTGGGGATGCTATTCACTATAAAATTTATTTCGGTTTTAGATTCATTAATGGATGTTGATCTTACTACCAACCTCTAAAGAGCAATATAGTTATACCAGGTTGAAATTTTGCTTGGTATTGTTACCTTTGATGTAAATATTTTATATTTATGTATTTTAAATTTAGAAAAAAGATCAGGTGCTCTATATAGACTGTTGTTAAGACTTTATTTTGATTTGTATACTATTTGCTGGTTGGAAGGAGCTAAACTCTTGAATGATACTATATTCTATAAAAAAAATTATGTTGTAGAATTTTTGAAAGATCCTAATTATAGGAGAGGTTCTACCAAAATTTTTATAAAAACATTGAAGTTTTGCTATGACAATTAGTATCATAAGTGTTCGAAATTCCATGTAATTTGATTATTTAAAAAAATAAAATAAATTTTCATTTTAAGACTTACAAGAATGTGCGATATAATTCACATTCGTGCTGATCACCCTCTATTTTCGAGGCGTGACACCAAATTTGTCAAATTACACAAATAGGATCCCAAGTTTTCAAAGTTCAACACCAACTAAAACTTTTACCCTTCAAAATTAGAGCAATTAAATATATACGAAAGCATGTGATCTTTGACATTTAAAAAACATTTGCATAAAATATGGAAACAATAAAAATTGTGTAGAAAGAGGGCATGTGTTGTGGCTTGACACACATGTGCCACAACTGGTTGGCTTCTTTACCATGCGCTGCGATGCATTGAATAGTTTTGATAGCAATGTTGCTATCAAATGACAACATCTAAGGTGAACTTTCAATTTATCTCATTTCTTCATCTGATATTCAATTGAGGCAATCTAAATGTCTATATAGAGCTTTCTCATAAATCTAACTAGTAATTTTGTTTTCACAATCAAATTATATATTAGTTAAAAGTTGGACACTTATTTTAAAATTCACTCCTTTTCAAAATTCACATATAACTTGAGTGCCAAAAACTCACACCAAATGCTAAAAACTATAAATACCACCTAGATCACACTCAATGGACCAAAATGAACCTATGCAATAAGCCACGTCACTAACATACCATGTAAAACAATTTTTGTTGTTCAAGCCCTTGATCACATAAATAGAAAGGGGAGCTCCAATCACACATTCCATGAATTAATCATCATAAATCAAGTGTCATACACAACTCTTACTTGCATTAGTATTTTGGTTCTACTATAGATTTCACAATTAGTATATATGCATCATAGAGCCCAAAATACATAATATAGTTAACAAAACACATAGATTTCACAATCATGAATTTTTCCTAGTTGGCAACATCATTTGAATTATACAAATAACAAAAATCAAAGTAAATAAGGCTTGCTAATTTTATGATTATAGTCCTAAGCCTCAGTCTGTTTCCCTCATTCATGTCCTGACAAGTTGGTTCCTATAATATTGAAGACAATGGGGGTGAGTACAACTACTCAGTAACTAAAGTCTATCTACCTTATACTAATGCATCAATTTAAATGCAAGTGGTAAGTCTATCATTTTCAAATCATTCAATATGTTCAAGAGCACAATTCAAAATTCTCATTCACAGTAACACAGCTTATGAGATATTAATTTAGTAATAAAATTTTACAAAGAAATAAGACTAATGACATGATATGTTTCACTAGGGTCACAATACCGATAACCATGTACCCTTTTATAACTAAATGCATGATCACACCTCCCTTATATCCTCCTTATACCTCTGACACAAAATCATAGGCTATAATACATTGGGATCATCTATAAACTAAGACTACCCTAACCAAACATGTGTGAAAGGTCACTCGGCCAAGGTTGCCTAACTCACTAATAGATTATGGTTTACCCTATTTCTCATACTATGGGGGTGCCATTCTCTCTAGACTAGCTTCCTTGTTGAAAAAGTAGAAAAACTAGCTAGGTTTGAGTCCTTTATTGAACCCTAACAAACCATTAAGCTTTGATGGAAGCTTTATCATATGGATTTAATTCTCTACTTCTCTTCTTAGGTGAACTCCTGCCTCTCAAGATCATGCAATGCATAACAAAGCAACATTTCAAGGCATGCTATTACTCAATGATTAAGCATGCATAACATCATCATTGTACTCATCTCATACATGAATATCACTTAACGTGCAAAATCAAATTATTGAACTCTACTTTACTCTACCTCGTCGAACTTCTCAACTACACATTCCATTAAACTCCACAAATAACACATCATAAAACTCCAAAAGACATTATTGTATTGAAATTTCACTTTTCAAGTCATAGAACTCTCTTGACACAAAATCACTAAAATCCATTAACAAATCACATCATTGAACTTCAAAAGATCATTATAGTGGATTTTCAAGTAAGTCATGCCATACTTGCATTTCATTCAATTTCACACATTTCAATTGTCAAGTATAACTCAATAAATTAATTAACACGCAAAAGCATGAGGAAGAATTCTCTTGGTTACCTCAAACCTTTAAGAAGTTAAAGGTTTTACCCCTCAAATATACACTCTCAAAGCTCCCATGAAGTTTGAATGGTGCCAAATATAGTCACTTTATGATTAATCACCATATAATTCATTAGTATCCCTTTTTTATATGATTTTTAAAATCTAATTCAACACTTCTTCACTATTAAGATTCAAGCTACTCAATTACAAAGATATCCATAGGGCTTATAAGCTTCCTCTAACTTCCATTAACTCTATTGAACCTATAAATAACCATTAATGAAGTCACATTGCTCCATTCACCTTATTTATGGTGGATTTTCAAGTATTTATTACCCTACATCTACCAAAACTCACAACACCATAAAATGCTAAGTTTAGATAGCTCAATGAACTCCCATTAGCTTTATTTAAGTTAATGGGTTCAGACTCATAGTCTTTATGGACCGAACATTATCTCTCTTAACTAAACCCTAACTTTCAACTTTAAGAAAATGGAAGAGAAAGAGAGATTTAAGCTTAAGGAACTTACCTTTAGTGTTTGGAAGCTTTAACACTCCTAATGATTTAGTTCTTCAAGCCCTACAGAGTCCTTGTGTTTCATTCATTCACTCTTTTATTTCCCTCCTTTTTTGCATCAGTTTCATGTTTTTATTTCTATAGATTTTGTACCATGTACCATGATGCATATCCCCATACACCATAGCATGTGGCATAAAAAAGGGTCTTCTTCTTCAAATGGCACCGTGTGCTGCTACATCTTGCGCACGTGTTATGACATGTGGCACAGAGTCATTTCTCTTTATTTTTCTCACTTTTTTATGCCTGGGTGACCTGACCTCACTTCGGATTCAATCCTAAGGTTGAAACCACAACCCAAAATACCCGTTAACTCTTTGTAACCACATACTAGATTAATTTACATAATTAATCTCATTTATCTAGCTAATTAGAGTTAGATTGTCCCAGATGTTACACAAGTGACACGAAAAGGTTTAGGAAGAGGCTTCATATTAAGTCAAGCCTAGTAATGTTGCAGCTAGAGATCACATTCCATTCACTTCCATTTTGTCTATGACTAACTTGTATGACTTACCACTACATTTCATGAATGTGTGAAAGATATTATTCCTTTTTCATGAACATCAAGTGATAGAATAGCAAATAGACATTGCATTACCCTATAAATCCTTAAAGGAACTTCATCCGTAGTAATTTCTTCCTTCACTTTAGAAGGGCTTTTCAAGCAGAGCATGTTGAGGGCACCTAGATGCTACATAGCCCCTAGAGTGATACTTGAAATACTTAACTATGGAGCTGCCAGGATGAGAAGTGGATCCTAAGGATTCACTATTGCATGACATATTTAGCCTAACAAACTACGAGATTGACTGTTGAGGTATAGAGTTGCTAGGGTTACTCATAATATGATGGTTATGGTGCGTATCCATGCTTGAGAAATTGATGCATCTTGTAGATGAGTGTCGACATACATTATCTATCTTTATAGATTTATGGTACGCTTTGTCTGGGGTATATGGGTAGTTTATCCTAAATTTACATTGGATATCTAGTCTAATGCTATTAATGAACCTTTTAATATTTATCCAAGAAGGCTCAAACACATTATTCCTAATTAGGAGGTCATTGTATTGAGACATGTATTTAGATGTCATAAAAGTTTGGCCAAGATTAAGTAGCTTATTGTATAGTTTGCTCTTATAGCTAGGTAGCACATACTTCTCCTGTAGTTTTAGATTTATCTTGACCCAAGTATTTATAGGAGCTTGACCTAAGCACTCTAAATTCTCTTGGACATTTTGACATTATTTCCTAGCAGACCGTATAAGCTTCATTTTTGTGAAGTGAACACATTGCATGTCACTCATGTTGTACTATTTAAAGTAGTCATCTATAGTAGTTAATCAAGTTAGGAAATCACTTAGGTTCAGCCTACTATCAAACTCAGGTGCTTCCACCTTGACCTTTTTAGTGGCATCATCATGGTAACCTTGTTGAAAGGGTTCTCAGTTATATCTAGAGGATGATGCTCGATTCCTTAGGAAATAACTATTCCTAGGTGGTGACTCATATTGCTCATACCTATCTTGTTCTTCCTAAGGCACTTCTTCTTCTTCTTTAAAGGATTAAGGCCTAGTTATAAGGTGAGGTGGTCTAGTATTAGGGTTACTAAGACCTGTAAAAGATTGGCAAGTGATCGTGACTATAGGCTTTGTATTGACATTCCTAGTGTATGTTTGACCCCTATCATTAGGGTTGTCAATTAATCCTTCTACACACTTTTTAGTTTTTTATCTTTCTAGTTCTTGAAAGGAATCCCATAATTCCTTATTGTTGAGTTTAGAGTTATGCTAGAATTCCACAAGAGTTTAGTATATGTCAGTAATAGTTTGTTCTATGCTATTAAGCCTTTTAGCAAAGTTAGCGAAGGTCTTGGTAAAGTCCTCAATAAAAAGTTGATAGGTGTGTTTATCTAAGTCTATTTGGGATTTAAGGAAGTCAAGTTGTTGCTTAATGGAATTAAGCTCTTATTCAAGGAAGGCTTAATTCTTGTAAAGGTCATGAATGGTCATTCAAGAATAAGAGTGGACTAACGTGCAAGTTTAAGGTGGTTCTATCCTAAATGATAAAGGCCCCCAAGTTACCTTTACTAAAAAAGTAAGACCCTATTTAACAAGTTTAATCCCATGGGAACTTAAAAGTTCCTCAAGAATCACTTATTACATAAATAACAATCTAAGTAAAGTCTTCATTGTGACCTCAAAGGGTTTAAAAACCCTTCAGGAAAATCATTACAAACTGTAACTAACTTAAGGTAAAAGTTGGCTCTAGTATAAGGTTGAATGTGTGTGAGGAATATGTATGATCCTAGAATTTGAAGTAAGTGTAAATCAATAACGAGTAATAAAAATATAAATTAATTAAATGGAGAACAAAATAAAAAAAATTACACACATAGGTATCTTTTTTTGGCTTTTTTTCTTTTGTTTCTTCTTTTTTTTTTGTGCCAAACAACATTGAGACTACAAAATAGTTAAAAAGAAAATGCTCAAGATAAATAAAATATTTAAATTACACCTCCAAAAATGCTACAAAATCATAGTAAATAAATAAAGGGTCAATTGGGATGTATTAGTGTGACTTAAGGAAGTCGATAGATAAGAATATTTACCCCAATGGCCTTGTGAGATGATTTGCAACTTTGGAAAGATCTAGGGTGATAAACAACATGAATAGGGGTAGAAAACACTAATAACACAATTTGGATGAATTGGAAGTGACAGGAATGTGCAACAAGTACTAAGAGCAGATTTCACATGCAGGGAACAGAGATGGAATCAAGCTCCAGTACTAATTGATGTAAAATGAGAAAGAGGAGAGGGGAAAGAGAGAAGAGAGAGAGGAGGAGGAAAAGAAAACTATATAATCCTTATTTAAATGCCAAAACTATTTACAAAAGGAACCCTAAATAGAGCTCTAAAAAATTAATAAAGAATAATAAAATAAGAATGCAGATCTACCTAAAATCAATAAAATATGATAAGATATCTAGCTAGTCTAGATATCACATTTTATTTGAAAATGCTTAAAAAATAATAATGATAATCTATATTTACCTAAATATCTTGTTTTATTCAAAATAAATAAAATGTAATTGCTAAATCAAATAAAATAAACCCTAGACACTAAATCAAATCTTATAAAATAAACCCTAAATCAAATTAAATATGATTTACATCACCAATACATCAATCATTTTTCCACAAAGAATGACAATTGAGAACCCTAGAAGAACATTAATGCAAACTATTATTAATTATTAGGTCACATCGATGGCCTTTTAAATAGAGACACTATTTGGAATTCCCTTGCCGGTCAACCCAGCATCACTAGAAGGAGAAAGCAAAGTGTATGGCATGCGAACTTCACCATATCTATTCTTTAGACTCGCATCACAGTTTCTCCTTCTAATTCTTTCTCCAATTTCTGTTATCTGTCTTCCAAAATTCTCAAATGCTATCAAGGCATCTATCTTAGATGTCCAATTAGTGATGTCTCTTTGCCCAAGGTAGATCTCATCATATGTATGTTTTGATAAGATTTCTATAACGGAAAGGACATCAAGGGCTTGCTTCCTTGGTGTAATGGTTTTCAATAAAGCCTTCTCAAGGTTTGTTTCAAGCTCATAATACTCTGGAGTACCTTTTTTAGGCATGTATCTTCTACTAAGAGTTGGACGATTGAGAATATAACCTCCATATGAGTATTGTCCAAAATTAAGAGGTGCATGAAGAGCTGAAGCAATCCATATGATGATAGTGCAAGATTCTATCAACTCGTCTCGAGTTTGCATCTCAGGCCACCAAGGCTCGTCTTTCTTGTCGCCATGACCCACCTTGACGAGCTCTTTCCACCAAGATTGCAGCTCCGGGTCTTGTTGAACCATATAATCAGTCTTGTAGAAAATTGAGCAATAATCTCGGACCCATGCTTTTATGGCGAACCATATCTCGAGTCCATCAACAGCATAAGGGTAATCTTTTATTACAAGGTCAAGGCCCTCAGCTGAAGTTGGGTCCCTAATTGCCATTCCTCTGAATGAAACATAAGACAATTTGCATTAGTTATTTTAAATCATCATATGTAGGGGTGTTACATAATTTTGATAGTCTGTTTTTGTTGCAAACTACTCCCAGCAATTCTATTTATAAGATCTTATTTCATTAGTCCTTAATACAAAATCCATTATAAAATTAAATGAAATATTTATGATTCATTTTAAGAAAAATGCTATTATATGTTCATTCTTATCTTAATTAATCCTTTTTCTATCTTTTTTTTTTATGAACTATACCAATCAAAGGCTAATTTTGAAAAGTTGATCTTTTTTTTTTTTTTACTTTTTACTAACTTTAACTGAATCGCATGAATACAGTTAAAAGAGAACCTTATAAAAAGAATTGGAGGGAGAGTTTTTGTGAAGTTTACCTCTTGATTAGATCATTTGGCAATGCTTGCTCAGTGAAAACCCAGTTCTTGTAAATAATAGATGAAATCTCCATAGCATACTTGCCCGGTAAAAATGTTGATTCTATAGTGCCACCTTCATTAATTAGGGCACTTCGAGCCGTCGCATTTATCCTCATTGTATCACGAAAGTGAGGACGCAGTAATTTGTGAATAGGGTGCAGTACACTTAGTTGCCGGTTTGTTGCGATTATGAAAGGTTCAATCACGGCGTGTGTGTGTAACCTGCACCTCACAAGATGTTATTAATTATAAGATCATCTCATTAATAAACATATAAACAATATAACATTTTATTATTAATAATAATTAGGGTAAGAGTATACACCAATGGCTAATGAGTTCATGATAGTTTGTGTCGTTGACTGTGACATACGTTTTGGCCAAGTTCCAAATGTTCTTTTCCACGCCTGACCTAGAAGGCAAGTAAACTTCACTGATGGCTCCGAATCGATCTCCATTTGGGTGAGGCAAACTTAATTCAATGGCCAATGGCTTCAAAGTCCCATCATTTTTCAAGAACAGGATTGTCCTACTCGCATATCCCTTGGAAGAAGTTGCATTTATTCGACTTAAATATGGCATGAAATCGTCCTGGTAATCCAACAGAAATAATTTCCTTCGCCTCATTGCCTGTTATATTACACAAAAATACAAATGAGTCATTGTTTGTGGTTCTCTTGAGTGTCTTTACTGATCATTTCGAGAATATCATGCCCAAAATAATAAAATGACAATAATACACTTCCTTAAGAACATTACCTCTTTAACAGTGAGCCCTTCTAGGTTAATCTCAATGTGTTTTTCAGTCATTTTACTTGTCTGGTCCCCATATAAAGTCTTGTCTAACTTGCTTTTTGGTGGGAACTCCTGTTATCAATTTTGGAAATATATGAGGATTCGAAGAATATTGTATGAATAATACCATTTTGCAACTAAAACACGACATTTTGCTCATGTTAGATCTGCTTGCTTTTTTGACAATAGAAAGCATACTTGGAGACGGCAAATTTTGACAGGATTCACACCAGCAAGCATCTGTCTAGCAAATTCTTCATCAGTCATCCAAGCTGTTTTACTTGCTGCTTCAAATAAAATCACTCTTTAAATATTGTCCTTAATTAGGAATTGTGCGATGTATCATGAAACATGCATCGACATGGATATTGAATTACATTTGTATATGACAAATACATACCTCTGATCACCTCAGGCATTTGCAGTTTGAAGAATTCTTCATTATCAATATGAAAAGTTTGCTTCATAAACTTTGGAACATACTTAGTTGCTTTCTTAAATGGTTTTGGGATCTTATATCCACCTGTATAGAGTTTAAGAACATCTTCCAAGCTTTCAAATTCTTCTTCACATTCTAATAATTTAGGTTGGATGACATTGGATGCCAATTTTGCTTTCAGAACTGTCATGTCCTTCGTCTTCAATTCAGTGAATTCTTCATCTCTTGGAACATAGATATTGGTCCAACCCTTCACCCTCCTCTCACTATTGCGATCTGTGATATTTCAATCATAAAATGACATGAATAAGACTAATTGTTAAACCTCAAATTAATCGATGTGATCTTCTATTAACACCCCATTAATGTTTTTATCCTTTGGAGGCACGTGAGCAGTAATCTTCAAGCAATTAATGGATTCTAAATATACATACATACATATATAGCTACAGAATTAGACGCTATAATTTTTTTAATCATGTGTGATAATAGGATTATACCAACATATGCATGTCCTGAAAATTAAGTCAATACGATTAGTTTGATCGGTGAATCAGTGAACATTCTAAAAGATCAGATCTGGCAAAAAATAATGAACAATCAACACCGGCAAAAGTGGATCAACACTCAGTAGAACCTAATCAAGAATGGATGAAACTTTTTTATTTATTATTTAGAACTTTCATGAATAAAAATAAAAATTTTAAAAATTTAATTATGATGATAAATTCAATTATAATCTGATTACAGTGATGTCAATGAACCTGTGTTGAATCTTTATCAATTTAATAAGGTTGGGTTTAACAGACAGTGCAGATCTCTCAAGGCAAACCAAGAGCTCAAATTCTCACTAAAAAAGATGTTCACATTTAGTGTCTAATCGTGCATTGAAGATGATTGCTTTTAATAAGAGGATATTTGTAAGCAATCAAAAATAGCCAGAAGAAGAAGAAGAAGCCTAACCTGAATTTGTTGCGAGTCGACCTGTTCTACCTCTGCGAGGGTAAGGATACGTGCTATTCCCTCCAAGAACTGGACGAGCATGATCTTCACCCTTATCTGGATTCCCTAAATCATTGTAAGTAGCATAATCATAGACTCTATCCCATTTTTGGAGCTCTCGAGTTCCATTCCCTCTCAAGTTTAACAGCTCTTCTTCTCTATATTTGACAAGTGGGCTTGGTGTTTCATTCGGAAGATATGTCTGCGTTGGGAATTACGCAAGCAATGAATATAAGAAATGATTAAATAATTAGAAATTAAATGGGAGAAAATAAGAGCAAGGAATAATAGATGACAAATAAAATTTAACCTGCAAAGAAAACCTTTTTTAATAGAAGGGGCAAAAAACCCACAAGTAATGAGCGGGAAATCCCAACTCATTAGGTAATGAAAAATAGAATGGGTAGCAAATCCCATGACATGATAGAGAACGAATGGATTAGGAGTGGCAGAAAGATGTTAGTTGTCCAAGTGTAATTAGACACTTCTCATTCCTAACATTTTAATTTAAAATCTTAAGACTTAAGTTCACGAATCCTTTTGCTTTATTATATACATGCAAGCATGCATCTATATATATATATATATATATATATTACTAGACTGAATTATATGAATTTCTGCATTAACTCAAGTTTACTCACATTTGAAAATTTTAGCAATCAATAATGCATTTAACAAGCAAGCCACATGAAACTCATAACAAATATTTTTGTGTTTACGAAACAACCTCAAGCTACAGAAGTAATTATATTGGACTTACTGATGACTTACTAGATCAGAGTTCTCACATGAATTATTACCTCATTTGTAAAGAAAATGCGATGGGAGAGGTCTTTGATTGTCGGGAAAACCCATGAGTTGCAAGGAAAATGGATGTCTCCATGGCCTCGTACATCTTTAAGTGTCAGATGTACGAGGAAAAACTCACAGTTATGCAAATTTTGAATCTGAAATGCTCCAGGAATACCTACTTCATCATCCCACTCAAAATGAAGTTTGAATGTACAATTTTCTGCTGACCAGGATTGAAGTGTGTTAATCCTATCTGCACAATATTTGATCCTTCCAACTTTCCCTTTCAATCCGTTCGCTACAAAAGTAAAACCATCACCAACGTTAATATCATCAATCAAGCACCATACAAAATAACTACAACACGTATGAGGGACGCACACACAAACATATAGATACTGGCATGAATTGTATATGTCACGAGTGGAAAATACGAATTTTCGAATTTATCAAGTGTGATTCGAATTTATCAAGTGTGAGACGTAGACATACGTGACATAGAAATTAAGAATTTGTGTTTTGGTTATTGAATTGATATAGAAATTAAATTTTTACATCTATTAAAATGCTAGAATAGACGTCAAAATTAAAAATTACTCAATTTTCTAAATTAATTTTGATGTACCATGTATAAGTGAACAAGGTCCCCAGTTAAACTCAAAGAGAATAAACTTATCATATTTAGAGACTGTAATCCAGGTAAGGCCACATTTACTACACTAAATTGAGCCAGAGTCAAGTTGGGATATCAGTCTCTAAACACTAAAGATTAAATCTCTAAGAATTTAATCTGAGAAATTCATCCCGAATGGATCGTGATAATATTCTTTCTGATTTACAACTTCCTCCTCTAAAGAGGCAAGTCTGGAACATACTTGAATCTTTATTGAGAAAAATAAAATATTAGCAACGCAAGTTTTTAAGAGAATAGAAGAGGATTAAAAGGAACTCATGCGGATAACACACTGAAATTTCACATAAACAAATTCTTTACTAATTTTAGCGTCTGTTGATAGTCATAACTGATGCAATATTTTGCATCAGCTGATGTTACAACTGACGTACTAATTTAGACATGCGCAACGTATATTTTGTAATGGTAATGAGCGTAGAAAAAGTTTGAAGTGTGTGAAGGACGAACCAGGGTCTGGATTATTCCTGCTAATTAACTGTAGAGAGAAGAGTATGTCCTGGCCAAAAATGGATTGCTTCTTCTTCAACACCACTTCTCCTTCCATCTGTTCTCTCTTCTTCAAGCAACGCTGGAAACTTCAAAAGGTACGTATATGATCTGTACAGTCAAAAGAAAATGATTAATTTTGAAAATGCGAGAGCCAAGGGCTTGCAATTTATAGAGAGAAAAAAATAGAGAGGATGATGACATTGATTTTTGAGTTTACTTTCTTTTTAAGGCCATTTCTATCATTTAATGTAATGATTTTTCTTTGACCTGTTATTTTCTGGCCGGCGGCTTGAAAATTTGAGTTTGTAATCTTTGACTTCAAGTAAATTGCAAATTAATAACAAGATGTTGTCAGATTCCAAGCAGGTTCCTGATGTAGTTAATGTTTTTTAGTTGACCAAAAAAGTCTTACAAGAAAAAGAAAATCGACAAATTGATTTTTCCAAGTTAACTTATTTTAATATCCTCCTAGTTGTGCGCCAAATTGCTTGTAATAAAAACACGTCCTCCATTTACCTCCAAAAAAAAAATTGACGAAGGAAGAATGAGGAGGTAAAAGCACTTAAAAATTCCACACAAAAAATTTAATTACTAAAATATTTCATGGAATGCAAAAATGACTATGAAGTCTCATGGTATTTAATTGCAAATAAATTTTCATGTGTATTTACCAAAATTTCCTTATTTTTAAAAATTAAAAAAAAAATCTCTTCCCATCTCTGAAGCCACTGATGCCGTCACCGGTTTCTTCGTGGCGGCTGGAACATTATCATCACCGGTTCCAATATCAGAGAGTTTGACAAACTTGTTTTATCATGCATTCTTCTTGTCCTTCAATCGAAAGCCATTTCACATGGACTAAGCAGAAGATGCATGGAAATGCATAAAATGGACATAAAATGGACTGAGCAGAAGATGCATGGAAATGCATATGCAGAAGATGCATGGAAATGCATAAAATGGACTGAGCAGAAGATGCATGGAAATGCATAAAATGGCAATAATCTGGTGTGCCTCTTACCTTTGACAAAAAATGATTCTTAGACTTTCCGAAATTTCTTTGTTAGGGCTGCAAAGTTTGTTGTTTTCTATGAAGAAGGAAGATAATTTTTAATCTTTAAAGGTCACTTTTGTAAATTCCCCCCAAAACGGTCTTACAATATGAGATTTTAGAGTTACTTTTCCATTTCGTAGGATTTTTTAATAATTAGAATTCCTGTATAGCACGTTGTGTAACTTTCTTAAGAAGAATCAATCCTTATCGATTCCCAACCACTTGTGCTACAAATTGCTCGGAAGCCGCCATTCCCACTTGTGCCTTTGCGTTGCCGTCCTGTATCTATACTCAATCGTTCCATTTCAACTTCGATTCTTGCTGTCTTTCAACACGTCAATCTATATCTAAAATAATATAGTTTCTTCCGTTCAACACGCTCTATTCACAACTTTTTTTTAAAACAAATTTAATTGAGGCCTTACATATATATATATATATAATTTTCGATATAAGTATATTTATAGTTTAACATCCCGGTTGGATTAAATGGCCAATAAAACATAAAGAGAAAATTGTAATATTTTGTCCATAAAAATCATAATGTTTTTTTAATTAAGAGTATTTTCTATCAACAACAGCGAATTATTTTCCTTAAATATGGAGGGCTGAAGACAAACACTTTCTAACTAGCTAGGCTTGCACCCCACACAAAATTAAACTTATCATAAAATAATATCTATTTCAAAGGAGAAAAAAATGTCTTTTCTATTAAAAAACCTGTTTTTGTTGAACTTTTTAATTGGAATTTGATATCTTAGACAATATCTTGGTACCATTTTCACTTATTAACCTTGATATCACTATTAATAAAAAAGACTTTTGGCAACAACTTTTAATTCAAAAGTCATTACTAAAAGTTTTTAGCTGTGAAAAAAGGTCATCACTATAAATATGGTCACTAATAGTTTTTGGAGGCAATAGTATCCAAAGTATATTTTTAGTGGCAACAAAAGTTTTTTGCTGCTAGAAGTCTAAAACTTTTTTTAAATAATAATTTATTTATGACATGTCACTCTACCATGGGTACATCACATGATGCCACCTCATGCCATGTTACCTGCCATGTATGTGACAGATGATACCTCATCGCTTGTCATCTTATGCCATGTCACAGTCCATGTGTTCAGCAAATGATGCCACACTACCCTACTACCTTATGCTATGTCACATGTCTCGTGCGTTGCCACCTCAAGCCATCTCATGTGCCACATGACTTGCCATGTATGTGTCTCCTCAAACCATCTCACATACCATGTTACCACCATGCACTACATCATATATTTGTTACAAAATATGCCAAAGTGTAGGTTTGAACTTTTGGCCCCCCACCTCTAAATCTTAAGTCTTCCATCTTTACCAGTTGAATTGAAATGTATCTAAGTTAATATATGCAAAATTAAATATATGTCATTTAACTATATAAATATATATTAAATAATTTATTATCAAAAATATATACATATATTTTATTTTATTTTCAATTATTAATATGATAAAATAATTTATATACAAATTTAAATTATATTTTTAATAAAATATTTTTTTCCAGTAAATTTTTATTTTTATTTTTAAAATAAAAAATATTAAATGTTAAATAATATTCTTATATACATTGTAACCAATTTTTAAATTTTATTCATTTTTTTAAATGAAAATTATTGAATGTATAATTTATTTATAAATATGTATTATATTACTTTATGTTAAATATCTTTTACTTTTTCTTCACCATATTTTTCTCAAAAACTTAATAAACTAAATAATTAAATTTTTATCTTCTGTCAAGATGGCTAAATGTTCCCCCTCTTTTATTAAAAATATATTTTATCTACAATTGTTCAATATCCTAAAAAACTATTTTAATAAAAAATTAATTTCAACCACATAAATTTTGTTAGGAAAAACATATCTACAAGTCCGTACAATTTCACTCAACTTTGAATTAGATCTTTACAATTTATTTTATTTTAATTGAGCCCTTATAGTTTAACCAATTAAATTTTGTAATCCCTAAAAATTAAAATCCTTATATTTTACCCTTAAAAAACAAAATTAAGAACTTTTATATTTTTATTAAATGTTTATATGACTTTAGAATTAATTACATAATTTTAATAACTCAAAATTTATGTAATTGGGTTGTCTTCTAAATATTTTTATGCATGTATAATTTTCATAAAAATTATAATAAAAATATAAACAGTGGATTAAATCAGATTTTCTTTTTTTGATTTTGGCTAAAAGTATCAAGTAAAAATCTTCCAACTCCAAGAATATTTTTATTTTATAAAATTTAATAATTTATTATTAATTTTAACCTTAAGAGATCAATATATATATATATATATATATGTATGTATGTATGTATAATCGATGAAATTATAAAGGCTTGATCAAGACAAAATAAATTGGAGAAACCCAACTCAAAATTGAGTGAAACTGTAAGGACCAACAAGTATATTTTTCCAATTTCTTAATAGTCATTTTAAATAATTTTAAATTTTTTGTAATAATCCAAAATTTTATTAATCCATATATATATATATATGATTAAGTATTTTGATTATATCGTCATCATCATCATCATTTTCAATAGTTAAAAAAATTAATAAATAAATTGATATTAAGTTATTGTGATTTTATTTCTATTAATTTTTGGTACAGATATATCAAAAGAGAACGTTGGTTTAGTGTTAATTGTGGCAATTTTTCCGCTAGGCCCTTGGTTTGAATCTTTTTCATGCCAGAGAGAAGTTCTACTTATTTTTAATATAGTCTTTCGTGGAGTTATAATTTTGCCCCTATGCATTTTTTCAAAAAAATAATAAATAAAAATAAAATAAAACAAAATAACAATCAGATATAGATATAGAGAGATAAAAATCGTACAGCTCCTCTGCTTTCCATGGCTCATTTTCAAATGCTGTAGGGTCAGCTAGTAGCCTCCTCCATCTCTTGTCCGATCTACCTCTGATTCCTCTTATGATTGACACCAGCGACCGTGAACGAGGAGCTTTCCTCTCCTCCTTTTGTCGTGCTGCTGTGTGAGAGCTGAGTTCTTCACCATCTCCCCTGTTTTTACGTCACAGATCATTCAACCTAGCTAGTCATCGAGCTCGTCTGTCCATGGCCATCGCTGCTGGAGTAGTCGTTCGTTCGTCACCGCAAGGATTTTCGGTGAGTGTTTGGCCGCTTTCGGTTACTAATTCGGGATCCTCATTAGAACTGAAATTTCTTTCTGCTTCCGCTCTTCGGTGCTATTAGCTTCTTTCTCTCTCCTTCCTTTATGTGTGGTTAATGATCAGATGTGAGGCATTTCAGTTCTCCTCTTCCTTGTTGTTTGGTGCATGCATTGTTGGTTGAAATTGTGGAATTTTCTCCTTCCTTTCTTTGCTGCCGTGAGTGATGTGGATGAAGATTTAATTTTATTTCAGCATTAAAATTGATTTATGTTGAAGGAGTAGCTTGGTTAATTTTAAAGTTGACATTGGGAAAAAAAAATTATGAAAATGGTTGTGATTTTTCCTTGTTCAATTGTTGTGTATGATTGCATAGAGAGGAGATTGGATTAATCTGAAATTTAAAGCTTAGTTAAACATTTTTATTAAGCAATTCTGGTGTGGTTGCTTTGGGTTATGGTTAATGGAGATGAATGTGAATTTGGGTTTTACCCTTGAAGTTAAAAGCTGATTTTTCTGTTGAAAATGGGATTTGAGGAGCTCTGTATTAAAATGTGTTAGGGGAGTCTTGCTTGTTTATGTACTTTCTAAAATTGTGATTACTTTTATGAAGTATATTTGGTTTGGATATTAATTATTTGTGATTTTAATTTGAGCATTGTGAATGATTTGTCAAAGATGGAACTAGTGTATTATTAGATGAAGTTTTTGAGAGTTACATGGTTGGGTATGTAGGAAAGTGAGTATGTAAAGTATTGAAGAAACTGAGAATTGATTTATTAAATTATAATAATTTAGAACCTGATTGATTATGGTGTTGTAAATATTGAAAGATAGTTTATTTGATTAGAGTAAGATTGTTAAATTGTTCTTGATTTT